ATATTCGCAGTAACCGCTTTCGGTATAAGTGAAATGCTCTTTTTATTGCCATATTATAACCGGATATTCGCTACAACGGTATTTGGTAATGAGTTTCCACAGAGACATTTCTAATATAAGGACTAAGAATACATGCATATAGTTTATTGACACAGCCAATATTTTAATTTCTTGGTTTTGGATTTTTCATTTATTATTCTGTAAATGTGCTGAAAATGAAGACACTAGACAGTCACAGGAACAAAACTTTTCTCCTTATAAAGAATAAAATGGTTGTTTCCTAACTTGACCTACGTTGGTCAGGTTAGAGAGTTAAAGTTTAACAATAGTTATCACAGTGAACTCCGGAAACGTTACAGAACATGTCAAATAAATGGTTTAGACTTATTTCAATCATACAATAATCACAATATCTTATATTGTTTATATTCCACGGTTGTTCAAATCAGATCACTTGTTTTAAAATCTTCTCGGTGATTCTGTCGATGCCTAAATTTCGTTCAACATATATAGATATATTTACGCTTCAAAACCAAAATATATAGAAATTATACCGAAATTCATGCCGGGACTTTGAAAAAAGTCACTTTAGCGTGATTTGAGCTCATGTAATTATTTTAATATTTTTGTCATTAAATTGCCTGAGTATATAACCTAAAATAAAAAAGATGACATTTTAGCAGACGACAATTGTCCCGGCATGCAAAGGGTTAATCTTCATTTCATAGCATATCACCAAATTCATTATTCTACCGACAGCATTCCCACATGAATACTCCCACGATTACTGTGGCTTCCGTTTTTAGAAACAATACTATACTTCAATGCTTTTGTTTTCGATGTACGGGACAACAAATGCCAAAGTGAGCCGACATTTCATTTTATCATTTGATTTAAGGTGCCGTATACATGCAATTGAAATGAAAACGTGCCTGTAATTTCTTGACAGACATTGAACGACCAGTATCAGCGTAGTAAAGTGTTTTCCCTGCTGAACGCTTATGAGGTGTCATGGAGAAAGGCATTGTATATGTGACAACTACTGGTTTTCCCAAATCTGTTGACATTTTATCTTTTGTGTGTATATACTTACACGAGAAGCCTACTTACTTCATGTGGTTTTGCAGAAACGGTGTTATCATAAACATAAGACTTCATGAAAATTAGAAAGTAGAAAAATAAGATATTTAGGAATGGAAAACCCTAAAAGACCTGTATACATATTATTGACGGATGCGCATCTAAAACCTCAAATAATTAGAAGAAATATCTGAAAAGAATATTAAGATTCGATTCAGACTGTAGCTATTTGGGAGTTCTATGCGCACCGTATACCCCATTACAAACACATTTATTGAATGAACGAATTATTTATTTAAAACGGAATTTGGGGGTTTTCTAAAGAAACACTATTCACTCACTTGGCATTTTAAAAATAATCATAGCTTACATGAAAAAAAAAACCCTAAAAGAATGCCCGAAAACATCAAAATGGAAATCTCTTAGGCTCTTTCAAAACAATCTATTCTTGGAGAGTTATGGTCTGTACAGGCTACTGTCAATGTCCCCCTAGCACTGGTTTAAGCAGAAATCAGCTTTTAGACATTCATATTATGGTGAAAACTTCAAAAATCCAAAGCTGTTGCGATAAAACGTGATTATATTTTTTGATTAGATTGTTATCAAAGGGAAAATATTCATTAGTGAATTCCCTTTACCCACTGATGTTTCATTTGAAATGTGCTTTTGTGCAGACTATTGTTGATCAAGAGATGTATGTATATGTGTTTAAACTACTTTATTTTGATGCCATCTTTCCAGATATCTGCCTATTTCGACCTATTGTAAGACATGTATGTTAGCAAGACTTTGAGTTGAAGTTTTTAACATAGTCGTTATTTACAATATGTTCGTGGCCGAGTGGTTAAGTTGTTTGACTTCAAACCACTTGATCATCATCGGTGTAGATTCGAACAATGATTTCACTTTATCAATATAGTTCAAAGAGAACAATTTTTTATATTTTGAAAAATGACATCAAGGGAATGCACCTGGGTTACATGCTGGACCATGGTTTTGCTATGATATTGAATATCAATAAATTGAAGATAATAAGAACTGATTAGACATTTTTGGCATAGATATGTTACACTGTTTTTTGGTTACATTGTTCATGATTTCACATTCTTCTCGTTTTGGAATAAATTACTAGAAGATTTAGATGGCCCTTACAGTGCGTAAGGTATTGAATAAAAGAAATTTTGCACTCGACACTCTTTTTATTTCAAACATAATCTGTCATTATTCTATTAATGTGTTGTTGTTTATGAAAAATGATTAAATATTATTTTTGAGTGAAATGATTACGTGATACATTCTTATATTATATTATATTTATTTTATACATAGACAACATAAGAATGTATTTATTGCTATGAATAAAATGAATATTCTAACACTTTTGTTTCTCCTCAATGATCCTTTTTTGTTGCTTTTATCCGACCGACTGGTCTGTCACATTTGTCACTTATCTCTTTGCTTTAACATCCTCATTTTGATAAGATACTAGTATTTACATAATTTTAGACATGAGCGTTGTATTAATAAAGAAGTAAAATACTAGTAAATGGTGTATATATTCAATGTCAATTTTTGATTTTATTAGTTCACCTGAGCACTTTGTGATAATAGGTGAGCTTTTGTGATGACTATATGTCCGCTGTTAGTAGTTATCTACAACTTCTTTGAATAACATCTACTCCGTAATCACAATATTTTGACCAAACTTTACAGGATTGATCCGAACGTGGCCCTTTACAATATAATATCATATTAAAAGTTGTGAAAGTCTTAACTTCAAAATTTTTCCTTCTTTCACGGTGGGTTGGAATCCTGTCAAGAACGTCGAATTCTCTTCAAAACGAAGCTATACAGCCATCTTACAAAATATTACAGTTTCTTCTTAGGTGGCTGCATGGATGTGCTTTTGAAGTCTTTCTCCACCATTTTAGCTGGAAAACTGCTTTATGACAATAATAGTGTCAGTGTGACACAAAACCCATTAACAACAACATTATTTATTGTTTCTGACTGAAGCAAAAGTAGGTAATAAAAGCTAAATAATATTAAAAATAAAACCTAAGTTTATATATACTTATATTTGAAATTCAGTTCAATCTTTTTGTGGAAGCTTCAAGATTCGGGGTTTAGATATTTGATATAATCCTTGCCTTGATGACCTCTTTAGAAGTTATATAAATAATGCCCCGGCGGTTAGAAATGGCCTCCCGCATATGTTTATTAAGTTTAAATATAAATGTTGGTATATAAAATCTTATTTTCTATTTCACATTGTCTGGAGCATATTAACATGAACCATTGTGTTGTGCTCTACAAATATTAATCGATATTTTTCCAATATGATCAAAATTTCCTACCTCCAGGTTACTAAGTTTATATAGACCTGTATAATAGTAAAATGCTATATTTACATCTTGTGTAAATCAACAAAACAAATGCCAGAGTTCGGATATTATCTAGGCCTCTTTAAAAGGTATATGAACTAAACTTCTGAGGTCGAAGCATCACCTCGTGGTCCTCTACAAAAGCCATATTTACTAGGAAATATGGTCAAATTGACCCCATTCTGAACGCTATATAGTTGGTATTGACTTTTATGGAAAAAAAACACAGTTTTGCATGGCCTTAACATAACAGATTCCTTTTTATGTGGAAGATCTTTCTAGAAATGGATCTCAAATGAGCGATCTAGGGCCATTATGACTCTCTTGCACCGTAAGGACTTGAGTATTAAAATCACCTTATTTTTTTTTACAAAAGGGCATTTTCAGTTTGCTGTTGAACTGCGCTACTTTACAACAACTGATATGAATATCTATTTCGTCATGGAATTCATTAAATGATAAAGTTACCCAAAAATAAGTTATTCTTTAGTTAGGTTTTGTAACTTAAGACGTATCTAAACAGTTTCATACTTTTGTTTTGTTTTCAAGGAATTAGAGTAGAGAACTTTCCAAAGCTAAGTATCATTTTAAGGCTGACCGGTTCGAGTCATATGTAGGAAATGTAACCAATTGTGCAATGAAGAAGCTGTCACTTGAAAAATAAAAGAAATCTGATGCTATTGTCGATCTATTGTACAACTTGCAATGCTGCTTTAATTTGTTTTTGTATCATAGTTTTGGAATCATTCTGCTGAAAATCGAAGTCAAAGTTAAATCGTATACAACAATGTACATATACCCGTACATGCACAGGGCATTTACTGGAGGGAAGGTTTAGTTACCAGAGCATGCCCATTGATTGACTCATTTTTTCTGGGGCTTACTTATTGTGACGACAGAGAAAGGGATAGCTATAGAAATATCATATTCAAATGTTAATTTAATGGTTTCCTTTTTATGGGGTTTCAAATTGTGACAACATGGAATGTGTTTTAATTTTTGCCTACGATACAAATGAAATAACATCAAAACACTCGACAATTTGATTTATATAAGGGAGCTAAGCCCCCTCGTTCAAATCAGAAAGCCTCGTGTTTCAATGCTCTTTCTATTACCTGTTAGATAACTTTTTTAAAAAAGTTGATTGATAAAATCTAATTTGTTGACAAAGAAATATAATTTTAACAACTGTGATAGTTTAAGAAGGGAAATAACAAGAGTAAACTCATTTCTTCATATTTTTAGGGTGACTTCCCTTCGCTCAATAAATGTATTTGATTCACGATAAATGCAGTCCGGCGCTGGTGAGGCTTTATAATCCATCCCTCTACATGTTAAATGTAATTTGAGGTAATTTTAAACTAAAGTCATGGATAATTATTTGAAAACATTAATTATATATTTGAATTGCTTGTATTTAAATTATATTTGTTACGTTCATACTTAATCATATTTTCATTCAGTTCTATTTGCAAACTTGAGAGATGTACTTTTAAAAGATAGATTAAAGTATTTACATTGGCAATAAACTACATATTATATTAAACATCTTTATTTCCTTCAATAGGTGAAGAATATAACATTATATACATACATAGAAATACAGTGATATAGAACAACAATAACAATTTTGTTACATTATATTGACCTTAGTTAAAGAGGGACAATTTCTTTAAGTCAGACTTGCGTAATAAAATATAGATATTCATATGCATTGATATAGAACAAAAATTACTATTTTGTTTACATAAGATTGACCTTATAATAGAAGAGAGACTATTTCTTTAAGTCTAGTGGAATATAATCATAATCTATCCAGATCAAAATTAACAATACTAACATATTTTTCTTATACAACAGATGTAACAAAAATAATTTGCTTTTATAATATTCTGTTATATAAAAACGTTTTCTTTTAAAACAATATTAATCATAGTATCTAAAAATGAGTATACCAATATACTTAATTGCTATACAAGATACATGTACAGTTATGTGATTGCCTATTATCTTCATTCTGCAAATTTGCAAAATTGAAATGTACATAAAATGATAACAATAATAATAATAAATTAACTTTAGTATTTAATATCTAGTGCATGATAATCAAAAGTTCAGGTTGTCAATAACTTTTAAAGATTTTTTAACTTATTAACATCTATGTTCTATTGTACAGTTCTATAAACAACCGTATCACTGTATAAATATATAATCTAACCTAAATGCATAATTATGTACAAAATATAAAGAAAATACCAGAGAAATAATATTGTTAGTTATTCATTACTTGCAATTTGACACAAATCACCATTTCTTAAGATAGAGATTTGCTACAACTCGTACTTGACCAAAGGCAAAGATATGGTCTAAACTTCATATGCCATACTTTAAGTAATCACAGGAAAAAAACAGACTTAAATTATTATATTATTATTTTGAAATCATAACTATTTTTTCCCACATAATTACTCCTATTCATCTAAATTTTCAATGCCAATCGCCACTATTCCGCCTTCATCCGATATAATCCATTCTACCCCACAAGGCACAAAGACTAAAGAGATGTTGATGTTCATTGTGTGAGCGCCATTGAAATTCATTCTTTCTTTTCTTATGATCTTCACATCATCGTTGTTTAAAGAAGCAGATTCACAAGTTTCAGCTTTAGGAGAGGCGAAAATGAAGATATCAATATGCTCCATATCACATATGTCATCCATTGTAAAGTTATATTTTTGTTTGTCTCCTTCTTGAACATGTGTTCCTTTCTTAATCAAAACCTTCTTTTTCTCTTTTACATGTTCTGGACATTCACGTTCATCATTAATGTGTTGCACTACAGCACATATTGTATGTTGAGAAACGATGCTTCTCACCTTTGGATGTGCAGATGGTATTTTACCGTAATGTCCATTCAGAATTGCACCTTTAACTAGTGTGAATTCAGGATCAGAAGGAACAAGAACCTGGCAGTCGTGAAAAGCACCTTTTACTGCATCCTGGACTAATTTTATTCCTGACAAATAGCCCACCATTACAATTACTTTAATTCCTTTTGTATTTTCGTCAGACAAGATGTCCTTAATGTTTGACACAATCGCCCCTAACGTGTCCTTAAAGAAACTGTTTACGACATCTCGTTCTATACTTACGATATCGGGTTTAGATCTAACCCTCACTCCATGTGAAAATGGTGATTCTTTTATGGCAGTTTTTAAATCTTCATTGTACTCTTGCTTACATAAATCATTTAACGATAATCTGAAGTTGATTTTATCATTGTCATCAAAACGCTTAAATGCAAATTCTACATATCTTTCAAAATCAAACAAGCCGCCTTCACTGTCGATGTACCTGAGAAACACAGGTGCACCAACAATTTTTATGATGAACTGTTTTAGCTCTTCATGTACAGCTTGACCACCCCAACCGCCACCTGCAGCATATGCAAGTCTGCGTTGAGTCCTATCTTTTGTTGAATTTGCTGATATCAATGCCGTGGAACCTGAAAGTGTTTAAATGTTTTTCTTCAGATATACGCTGTAAACACTTCTGGGTACTTTTATGTAGGTGGAAATGACTTTAGACATTCAAAGATTTATTATGTAAAGATTCATTTCTTCATTATTGTCTTAATTAATTTTTGCTTTCAATTTCCCTTACAAAATATCAAATAGTTATTTGCTATAAATATTTGTTAAAGTAAATTGTAGTGACATTACTTTGAATTAAATAAGCGTTTTTAGAAGCGGTGATTTTCGGAATTGAAAAAATGCAAACATGCATGAAAATGTTTGCCTCGTAAATGTCAGCCTATCAACATCGGGATTTCGAGTCCAAAACTTACTGGGGTCATCGCGACGTTTCCATATGTAATACCAACTACTGGTAATCAGACTCGAAAATGGAACAAATAAGCGTCAAACTTTCTACGTAAATAACCTAGAATAAGTACTTTAAACTAAATCCGAGCGTTGTAAAAAGAATATGTGACAGTTTAATTTTATTTATGAACTAGAAATGTGTCAACATGCCACGGATGCCCCCGCATGCAACCAAAATTTCAGATGTTAAAATATTTAGTTCCAAATTTGTTTGCACAAATTATTTTTTCATTTTAAGTTCAAAGACCTTAAAACTATTCAATGTTAGCACAAACCATTTTTATACAAAGTTCAAGGCACTGAAACTATTCAGTGTTAACTTTTTGTAAATTGCATATGATACATATTTGTAGCCAAAATAATGGGTACCTACATTTCCACAAAATTACGAGTGCTGAAACTGAAAATTCAAACTTTTTCCAACATTCAAGAAAGATAACTTTGTCCAAAATCATTGAACCAAGATCAAATTCAAACTTGAACTGCTTATTCCTAAGATGTATCTATATGTCAAATTTGAGTTGATTGTGTACAACCATTGGGGAGATAATGAACGGAAACTTTAAATTTCTAATTTTTTTTTCAAAGTTCAAGACGGATAACTCTGTCAGCTATCATCAAACCATGACCAAATTCGAACTTGTGCAATGCATTCTTATGACATATCCATATCTTTAATTTGTTGTTGGATATGTACAACTGTTGGAGAGATAATGAATGTGACTGAAAATTTCCTTTCTTTCAAAGTTAATGGGGCATAACTCTGCCTAAAATCATCGAACCATGACCAAATTCGAACTGGACATGTGCATTCATTTGACATATCCATATGTAAAATTTGAGTTGAATATGTAACACTGTTGGGGAGATAATGAACGGAAACTGAACATTCCATATTATTTTCAAATTAAAGGGGCATTACTCTAACAAAAATCATCGAACCATGACCAAATTCAAACTTGGCCTGCGCATTCCTTTGACGTATCCATATGTCAAATTTGAGTTGTATGTGTAATATCGTTGGGAAGATAATGAACGGAAACTGAAAATTTCATATTATTTTCAAAGTAAAAGGGGCATAACTCTGCCAAAATCATTGAACCATGACTAAATTCAAACTTGACCTGTATTTTCTCATGACATATCAATATGTCAAGTTTGAGTTGAATGTGTAATACGGTTGGTGAGAGAATGGACGGAAACTGAAAATTTAATATTATTTCCAAAGTAAAAGGGGCATATCTCTGCCAAAAATCATCGAACTATGACCAAATTCGAACTTGACCTGTATTTACTCATGACATATACATATGTAAAATTTGAGTTGAATGTGTGCAACTGTTACTAAGATAAATGAATGGAAACTGATGATGACGGAATGACAGAATGACGGAAGGACGGAATGACGGAACAGGGTAACACTATATGCCCCGGCCATTATATGACGGGGGCATAAAAAATCAAGCCTTAGGTCAATACTTAGTATTTTGAAATATTGTGCACAATTATATTTGAATGTATCAATCTTATTACAACATTTAAATGTCAAAGAATTGTTAATAAATATAAATATGAGTTTATTATAAAATAATTCATTTCAAGGACAGTACCTTTCAAATTTACAAGAAGGAAGCCATTTTCATTATTCAGGTCAACATTCTTTGGCAAAGTCTGCTCGTCACTCCACATGTGCTCCCAATAAGAAAGAATAGCCTCTGGCTCGTTAACAAATGAATAGTTTTTATTAAATCCAGCCTGTTTGCCAAACATAAATCAAGATTCATATTTCTGTCAACAAAACAACAATTTTGAGATATAAATACGTCATCACAATTTGAATATCTCTCAGAATTTTCAAAAAGCAGAAAAAAAGAAATACAACTACAATATATATGTTCTACAATTTATATGTATTATAAGCAAGCAATCACTTCTGTGAAACATTGGACATATTGATTACAGGTTAAACATTTTATAATTCTACAAAACTATTTGATTTTAATAAACGATTATAGCAGTAAGAAGTTGTTTTTTTCGTTTGTTTTTTAAATAAATACAATATTATCAAATATTGATAATGATTAAATCGCCTACCCGACAGAGAAGAGAACTTACGAATGCAAAGGCTTTCTCTAACATCGACTTGTTAGATCTCGAAAATACTGGAGGAACTGTAAGCACGACATGTATGTCAGATTCTATCCATTCGAAGCCAGCCTTTAGAAGTTTGGTTATCATTTGGTCTGTAAAGTATTTTATTACCGATCCATAAACTTTGTGCGTTTCCAGTCTTTTACCATTGCATTCAGTTACCTCAAGTTCTGTGGGCTGTATTTGATAAAATTTCATATCAAAATTACAGACAAAATTAATTTACTACAGTTTTCAGACCTTTGTGATTTTGTTTAAGTATAAAGCTTCTGTAACCTATTTTACAATTATTTGTGTCGTCCATTAAGCAGTCTTGACTTTGAAAATGTAATAAATATAATAGACTGTATATATGTTATGTGTGTTAATCTTCTAGAACATTGTTATGATAAGGAGTGAATCATCCCTAGCACAGTTGAATTCACACTAATGGTTACACAAAGTGCATTAAACACTTTTGATGACTTTTAAAGCATATTAAATAAATTGGCTTTTATTTTATGTGATTTATGACTTCACAAAAGTCCATGACGTAAGTTGCCAAAGGGTGATATACAAACACCCAATCAGTTAAATAAATACTGAGTAGCCAATAAACAACTTGACACTAATAAGATAACAACAATCCAGCATACTTATTTTTAAAATAAATGGGTTTTAAAATTGAAGTATAAACTTTGGAATATGATAAAAGGTTAATTTGACTAAGGTTCAGATCAGCTTATTATTTCCTGTAGATCTGATGACGACCGTTTCGCCTTCTTTATAATTCGGATTTCCCGTGAAAACTATTTTAAGCCATGTAATCAAACCGGTTTTTACAGATAGAAAAATACCGGTATCCGTTGATTGTTGATTTTTGTGAGAAAAAAAATTGTTTGAAATAATTTTAACAAATTAACCTGAAATAATAGAGTCAATGGCAATATTGTTTTGCCATTTTACCTGTCGGCTATATAGACAACGCCATGTTTGTTCTCAAAATTGTGAAATTTACCTACTCAGTATCACAGGGGATTCTGTCATTTTTTTCCTTTCCCACTATATATATAATATAATAAGGGATACAACTCAAAATTGCTCAATTCATGAAAATAGAACGCAGTATACAACAGTTTTTTTCCTTTTGATTGTTGGACATTGATGAAAGAATCGATAATTAAAAAAAAATGACTCACTTTGTTACATGGACAAGACATTATTAAAAATAACCTTTCATGTTTCATTTTTTGATGTTGCCCGTATGTTCCATGCGTAAATCCAACTTCTGTTAGTGACTGTCAATTTCATTGGCTAATGAATAATAATAATCCGGCGTTTAAAGTCTGATTTTATTGACCTGTCAATTATGAATACATTATAGAACTCATTTAAATATTCGATCCCACTTCGGTTTGGTCCGTGTAGTTTACGAGAATTAATGTGGAGTATATTAGTCATGGATTGACTGACGCCAGCTTAATGTAAAGGTTTTCGTTAATTCACGAACAGTCGGACAGTCGGTAAAGAGAATGCCTGAAGTGACCAGCAGCGGTATGTCTTCGTATTTTCACAAGTAATATGTATTCAATGTAAATAGATAAAATGTCATACCTTGATTTGTACATTTGACAGCAGTGATACCCCAAAATTAATGCAAATTTGTGTATGTTTTCGAAGATATTCAATGAAGTTAAGCATGTACTATTGTAGAACAAATGCATATAATTTGAGCATATGTGGATTGGAATATTCATATTAACTTAGATTTAATTAATACCTGTTTTTATAAATAAAACATGAACATTCGTATAGTTATTAAGTCAGCTGTAAGTCTGAAACAGATTACCTTCCTCGTACTTATGTCTTTATAATGTCTTTTCACATGATTATCTTTCCCCATACATTCAATTTTATATAATATAAAGCTTTGAAATGATTTTCAAAAAGCAGTTTGTGTTAAAATTATTAATTTTCGTTTCAATAAAACTGTTTCCCACTTGTACAAAATACTATGTATTATAATGATCAACCTTGTATACTTTAATTTGTGAATTGTTATTTTATCTTGGGCGTCCCTTTCACAGCAGGATATTATGGAGGATAATCGTTGCCAAAAAATCCGGCCTTTGAAACTTGCCAATGCATACTTCGGTTCTACTTAACAAATTAGTAAAAAATTAATTGTCGATTCGAGAGTTACAAACTGCACTGGTTTTAATCATTTTGATTATCTCGATTTGATAAAATAGAAGCTGTTAACTTGCAACTTAGATAAATTGCAAACTGTATTTACAAAATGTATTGCTTCAAATTTGCGACATGTAGAAATGCAAACGATAGAGAGTACCAAACACGTTTAATGCTGTGCATCATGGCGTTGAGAATTTAATTGCATCAGTTGACACTCTCAGGTTGACAACACCTCACTTTCCGTTATACATTCTAACGCGATTAACATTTGTAAACGATTTTGCAACTTCCATATATGGCATTATCACAGAAATACACGAAAATTAATAGGCGGAGCCAATTTTCACGAAAGCAGAATACATGTATAAAGAAAGTTAACTCTTGCTAGTACAAAAATATTTCAAATTATATAAAACTTTTATAAATTTCACATACATCAACTGCATTACAGTTGACTTTGAATATCTTCTGAGTTTGTTAAAACGTATTCTAGTACAAGATATTCAAGTAATGCAAAATTGGTTAAGATAAAATGTAACAATGTAACAACGTTTATACTGATAATGAGCGTACTTATATGCAAAAACTAAAGTTGGTGAATTAAGTATGACCCACCTAATGCATTACCTCCACTTTGAAGAGTACTCAAATAGGCTAGAACTACTGTCAACTGCATTGAAACTGAGGAGTGCGGGTTCAAGCCCCACAAGAGGCAACTTTTGTTTCTTTCTTTTTTTTTCTTTGAACATTATTTGTGTCTTTCAGATCACTCTTGATAAGGAAAAAGTGTTTCATTTTAATTATAAAATTATTATTGGTATTTTTTGGCTAAATGGTGCCAAATTTATTATCAAAAATGGTACCTGATATTTTCAAAGTCTAATAAAATAAAAACTAGAGGGTAAAACTATTTTATATTTGACAAGCGCATCCAATATACTTTTAAGAAAATTCATGCAAACTTTGAAAACAGCCTCTGATTTGAGTAAATTTTAGGGATATTTTGAATAAGGCCTTCTAAGTAGAAAAATGATCAAACAACTACTTAAAATGGGTGGGGTAGGGTAACATTTATGTACATATTTCAAACATTTTGAGTAGAAACAAAAATTTTGCTGGATCATTTGTTAGCTGAATGCTAGTTTTTGTTTCTTAAATATTTTCTATAGGAAAACATTATTTCATAATGATTATATAATAGAATAATTAGAGTTTCTTATTTCTGAAAAAGAGTCCTTCTAATAGCCAAGTTTAACTATAGAAAAATCTCCATAACTCGTAAACGATACGGTAAACTTTGTTTAAATTTTGCATTCTCGTGTCTTTTAAGGTATATAACTGACCTATGTTGTCATTTTCATAGTTCCTTAGAGTGCCCGTTAGGGGGCTCATACCTTAACATAAGGAAATGTTTTCCATATATAAGGATACAAACCACTATTTTGCCATGGATAGGGTTTGTGCACAGGCGCTAGTCACATAATCAAATATTTTACATGACCGGTCTATATATGTATATAAAGATATAAGGCCCCCAACGGAACAAAAACATCATGCGGAACAAACAAGAACACTGCTGCAAGAAACGACCAGAACACGGTCATCTCTTACTGGTCACCATCTGAAAGCATCAATCCAAGTGCTAACGCTTTTTATTTCATTAAAATCCCTCAAATATCAAAGAAATTGGGAAAAGTTTCGCAAAATGCCATTATTTTCAATTCATGTCGTTTTCGACGTCCATACCATTCATATATACAAACACGACTTCTGGTCGATTTTTACGAAATAAACAAAAAACGGCTAGAATTTTACGTACGTTCCATAAACAAACTCTTTTCCTATCGATCTTCGAAGTCTTAACTGATCAAAAGCCCTCTTCATACGTAATTCATTAAAAAATTCACAAGGATCCTGCTTGTGACAGTATTTTATCGCCATGTATATCGCAATATATACTGTTCCGCTCTGAATATTATACAAGGATTTGATTGGTTTAGGTAATTATCGGAATACTATTGACCAATCTTATAATACTATTTCTTTGCTTCATTTACCTTTCACTTCAAAATCAAAATGGCGCACTTTACTTGATCTCCGCTTCTACAACCAATATTTTTTAAATTGCGTACAAAGAGGGCTCTAGTTCAATTTAGACTTCGCCAATTGATAGAAAAAGAGTTTGTTTATGAAATTTATGGGAAATTTTTAGACGTTTTCTGTTTATTTCGTAGAAATCGACAAGAAATCGTGTTTGTATACATGAATAGATTGGACGTCGAAAACGACATGGATTGAAAATATTGGCTTTTTGTGAAACTTTTACTCATTTCTTTACTATTTGAAGAATTTAAATGAATTGAAAAGCGTTAACGCTTGGATTGATCCTTTCGAATGTCGGCCAGAAAGAGATAACCGTGATCTGGTCGTTTCTTGCAGCAGTGTTCTTGTTTGTTCAGCATGATGTTTGTGTTCTGTTGGAGACCTTATATCTTATTATAGTATATAGCCCATATAAAACTTTAAAAAGTTTGTTTCAAGTACCTGTGGTGGGCTTGTGTGCCTTCAGACGTTATGTAAACAACAGAAGTACTCGTATGCATGTATTTTTTACATTCAGCAAACAGTACTAGAATGCGATACATGGAAATCACTTTTGGCAACACGAATAAAGAGAACTGAACAGTAAGCCTGTGCCTTCTTTCTTTAAAGGACTATATTGGGTTGTAGAAAAACCCAAATTTTTGACCCAAGTGTATAACCACGTTGACTACCAATAATTCCGTTGTATAACCAAAACTTGTGAATTTGTTCCAATTTACTATTGAAATAAATATTCAGTGTATCCTAGCATCTCTGTTTACCTCCAATTGGAGATATTTTGAGTCATAGGATGTGATTTAGCATTTTATTATTAAATATATGTAAGCTGACGTAGGTTAAGGTCTTCTTTTATGCATTGTACCGAATCAATAACAGCTCTTAACTCTGTGTATACTTGCTAAAAATAGCTGTAACATAGACTTGTAGTATATGCAGCATGTATACAGACAGTTCAAATCAGGCTGTCGATCTGAACTATTTTTATGTACATGAAATACTACACAGAATATTTATTAAATTTTGTAAGTGATGGCTTTCTTAGAGAAAAAATAAACAATTTATACATAAATTGATAATCAACATGCAATATACATTTGGACTGATTTAAATATTATTAGTGAAAAAAAATGGGAAAAATGGGAAAATATATCTGTAAAGCATGGTAATTATAAAAAAAGTTATGTACGAAAGGGTACATACAACTTTGGTTTTAATTTTTACTATAAAAGTTTTTTCTTGTCAAGTCATACGCTAGAATTAAGGTTACTAATGTAATAGTAAATGCTACTTCTAGCCATAATTTGGTTTGTATTAGTATTTAGTCGTATCAAAATCTCTATCAGATGATGATATGAAAATTTGTAAGTGGTAATGTAGCAGCTTAACTGTCAATGTGACTCATTCCTATGCAAATTAATTGGAATCCCCTCAGTAAAATTTATTTCTCGTTGAATATAGTCTTATCAATAGATTTTACTTCTTTAAAAAATATTTAACCTCAGATAGTAAGTAACCTGGTGATTTTTTTTTTAGTTTCTTTTTCTAGAAAATGTGGTATCTGCAACGTTTCAAAACTTGTATACCTATTATCATTTAAAGCCCACTGATGTTGATTGAATAAAGGCATATAATGGCACTCATGCAAGTAAATTATGTTTGGTGAATAACTTAAAACGGAAACTATGCGTCGCTGACGGTAAATACCGAAAATGAGCGGATAAATACGTTTATTTACGATGATGAAGTGTTTGGGAAAATGGGCGAAGCTTATTTTATCTCCAATTGAAAAACGTGTAAAGCTGGATTACGCTGATCCAAATGATGATGGCTTGACAATGTAAAGCTAAAAAAGTCACTTCTGTTTTGTCGGCGTATACACGAATAATAATATCTGTCATATGTTGCGGTTCGGACCGGAATATCCGTCCCGAGAGGACCCGCTTGCCGAGTTACCGCCCATGGGCGGGTTCCCGAGGGACGGATATTCCGGTCCGAACAGCAAACATATGTTAGATATTTTTTCTTGCATATTCTACCATATTATTTGATATTTAAAATGGTTTACCTCAATATGATATATGTTCATGGAAACTAAAGTCATTTCATCCATAACTATTTTCTTACAATAGCGTATGAACTTACAACTTAAATAACAACGGCGAAATAACGTCATCCTAAGCACATATTTTCCTTTTAAAACGACGTCATTTTAACGCGGTTCATTCATAAAGTGCGCTAAAATGACGTTGTTGTTTGGCACGCGACTCATCTGGCACCCCCATGCCAGTTGAAATTTCCGGCACGGGTAAATCTCACGGAAACGCCAGTCTTCTATGCAAGAACAATGAGTTTCGAATGTTATGACGAACACTTGGTATTGCTACAATCAGAAAAAAGTTAATATTTTGTCATTTATTATAACAAAATGTATTTTGTTGAAATACATGTTTACAATATTACTCAATCCCAGAATACAACATTGGAGTTTACATACAAAGAAATACACAAATATTTTGTCTGTAAACAAACTGTTCAACTCAGATCAACAAGGTTGGATTTTTGGCAACGAATAGCCTCCATAGGATATATGTACTAAAACTTTCTCGCTAAGAAGAATGATTTTTGACACTTATATTAAAGTATTTCCCTGCAATCTAAATATCACTTAGTTAAGAAGATCTTTATAAAAATATAAACACATATTTGTAAAAAGCATTTAAACATTCAAGTGAAATAGTAAATTATTTCATTCATTTTGTTTATGAACTTGACTTCAATGCTTATCAAAATAAAAATATTGTAATGATATCTATAATGGTCATATTATAATCATTTCGTAATTGAGAAATGACTGAATTTTTGTGTCATTCTTCACAGAAAGGTGACTAACAGGGTTTATCTGTATTATGTAGAATATTGCCTGCCTTCGTGAAGCAAATTATACTCATTGTTTTTACAAACTTTATAACAACAATAATAAACAAATTATGAGGAAACGGTTATGTATAACAGAAAGTTAGAGAAAAATATAGTACTGTATTAGATATTTACATTCTTATAATTAACAGATATCTTATCAATTTAAAATTGTTTTCGCAGTATCCAAACCGTTTATTCAAAACTAAATTTATATTATGAATGAATATATCCCAAAAGGTTAAACTATACTTACAATAGTAAATCAATATATGACTTTACCGTGGTCAAATTGACAATTTGCTATGCAATGATCCATTAAACTAATAAAGTGTCACCCTGTCCGGTAATTTGGTCTAGTGCACTAGAAGAAGTGCACATGGTGTGCACAAGGTTGAGAACTAACTTCAGTTTTAACTCAACTGTATATAGCGGGAAAATTCATGACGATATAAGCAGAATTAACACAATCATACATCTACTGTGTAGTTAGGATGCATGATTGCAGTAGTTTCTTTTTAAAATATTGTTTTGTACTGTTTTGAATACCTACACACTTCTCAGAGATGTGAAAAACAAACAAATTATTTTTTTCTTCTGTTAATATAATGCTCAACCCTTAAAAATCGCCAAAATGCAAATGTAAAAAACACCGTTGACACTAAAACAAGCAGTGACAGTTTTAAATTAACTTGGATATGTAATTCAACATAAAACATTCAAATTTAAATTAAGCATTTATAATAACTTAACATTTAACATGTTGCATGTACAAATTAATGTTTTGGTTCTTTGTCACCACAAAGGAACTTGATGAGTTGAAACCATACCTTATGCTCATTTGTTATCTTGTGAAATTCTTTAAAGTAGTACCAATATCTTTTTTCTTCGTCTGAAAGCTGTTTGTAATGGTCAACTGCTTCATAGCCAAAGCTATGAAATTTCTTTCTTTTGTCAAAAAGCACTACCGTAGGTAACTTTTCGTAAGGAAGACAATGTGCACCGTCAATCCATTTTGGTTTAGATCTGGTCGAATAGAAACCACTACTGTATGATGTTCCTATATCAATAGCTGTAACAATCAACGTGTCATTCATTCTGCATAAACTCTAAAAGGAAAGGAAAGTACAAAATAATAGCTCTAGAAATGGAATATCTGTTTCAGAAAATGTCTTTTAAAAGATTAAATTGAATGCAAGCTGAACTTTTAGAAAAAAATATAGTTTGATTGTTACATTGAAATTTATTTCTATTTTCAATTCAACTGACATAAAAGATTTATAAAACATTATAAATGTACGAATAACACAAATGTTAGTTACTGTGTGCTACATTGTTTGAGCCAGTTAGTCATTTACAAAAAAAGATTGGATATTTTAAAAAAGGAATAGAAATGTATACAGTTATTGTATATTTTTTAATTTAAAATGAATCCTTTTATTACAAATACATTTTTTGGTAATTGATAATAATTAGTTGTTGATCATTTAGAAAATCATTATAAATTGAAGACCATTTACACACATACATTATATGACAAAAACATTTAGGACATTTATATTGATATATACAAGTATACATTTTATACAACTTCTACCATTAACAAATAACCTTTTCCAACCTTACTTTAAAATAAACATTTATCCGTTAAGAAGATGGAATTCCGTGTTATTCCTACATTTAATATAAAAACAATCGACTTATGTATAATTTTCACTATATTGATATATTGATATATACGGTAGCATCATATCTTATAGCAATGAAATGATCATCTTTAAAACTTAAAAGTATCAATATATTTAGATGACATTTGCTTGTTTTTTTAGGTAAGATAGAAATATATGTCGCAAAGTGAACACCAGTTGTAATGTTTTCACGAGTGGCGTAGATCTGGTGTTCACGATAGAAATATATTTTAATCTTAGATACAAAAGAAACAAATTATCTATTTATTTAATGCTTTTTATGGGTTTTCAGCTATTTGCCGATTTCTTACACGTAAAGACGTACCAGGTTTCCACAAAGATACAACTAATTTAAAAAAAACATGTATAAACCGTGGGAATATAAGGCCGTGTGATTATTACGCGACACTGGCATTAATGTAAATCCAGATCAGTATATGCAGATTATTTTATATATAATAGCTCGAGATGAACAATATAGCCTTTAGCTATGACGTTATCAAATAATGACATCACATTATTCTTGTTTAAGATAATAAATCTGTAAAATTTTACAAATTGTGTTACATTAAAAGAAATATGTGCAGTATTAATGTGCTTTTCATAAAAAAAGCATATTTTACTTAAAAGACAAAGCGTATTTCTAATGATATTTCCACTGATTTCAGATATATTCTTTTAATTCACATTCCGATATAGTAGCCACGAGTGAGAATACTGTTTTAAAAGTTCACGAGATGAAATAAAATTACATCTTACATAAGAAACAAACAAATTTTCTTTTTATTTCATGCTTAAAAAAAGTTAAAATGAAATTTGTTTTATTCAACGAGTGCAATAAATTAAGTATAAGCCTACAGTCATGCAATATCAAAACGTTTTAAATAATTATCTCTCGGTGTGGCAAACTTTAAATTTTCAGAAATTTCATAAAGGAAGGGGAGATAGACCTCCACAAATATACAACTAGGTCAGTATGATATCCGGTCACAAATCAATTTATTTTTTATCTCCCTCAGGAAAGACTCTATTCAAAGTGCTTTGTTTGTAAACAAAGGCACAGGCAAGTTAAAAAAAAATGTATAAACCGTGGGAATATTAGGCCGTGTGATTATTAGGCGACACTGGCATATATGTAAATCCAGATCAGTAAATGCAGATTATTTTATATATAATAGCTCCGGCAACTGTGAAAATTATATTTTATGATTTCACTGTGAAATTATCACAATACAATTTCGCTGTTCACTGAATGGCATGTTATAAAAATTCGGCAACGTATTAACTGTCTTGTCCCAATTTTTAAAAAAATGGCTGCGTCACTCAAATAATTTGCATCATATAAAGTCATAATCTAAGCGTTAATCTATAAGACCTAAATGATTAACATTTGATCGAACTTAGCTTAGAAGCCGAATTTTATGTTATAACGCCATTGCAGATGTCATTATGAAGCAAATACGCAAGGCAGAGGGAACTTTTATAAACGTTAGACCCCATTTCTCAGTAAAGTAATATATCTGATATTTTCCAAATTGCAAGCTAATTAAGTCTGTCGTGAATAAAAGAATATCATCAGCAAACATAATTAATTTTTGACGTACACAGCGGCACAGAAGTGTAATAAAGTCATTTTTACACTATAATTAATTTTTATAGCGTAATAACACTTTGACGTGACGTCAATGTCGTTATATACAATATAGCGTAACACTATAGGCGCGTCAATGAAAAAAAACATCGATCCATATTTCTGTTACTTACTGCGAATTTATATTAGACCTGGCTCTGTTAAATGTAAGCGGCCGCCATTTTTAAAAGTTGTGTATTTCACGGGAGAAAAATAATTGTGTTTGATTTAGAGGGATATCATTTGGATTTTTTGACAATATAAGTGTTGACAGATGTGTAAACATTCAAACAACGGCTAGGAATTTGGAAGCTTAGATTAGTTGAACGACTGCCTTACGAACGCTGGGTTGTTTACTTATTCTTCGGGATGATGGCTTTCATTGCTTTTCAAGTTTTCATAAATCATACGGCAGTTATTGCTCGTAGGATACTTAAATATGCCCAAATGTCATCAAGAACAGTTTTGCATGTGGAAGGAATGTATTTGTCAGACTGTAAATATGAAACAAAAAATTAAGAGACGATATTTGGTGATTGGTAATTTGGATGAATAGAAGTAAGTGTTCTTCTTTCTATTACTTTGACATTTAAGTTATTTATCAACTTCAGCTTTGCTTTTTTCTGAACAGCCTTACATTATCAAAATTGTCAGCAAAAAATAAAATTGAGTGAAATATGGGGAAAATCTTAAAAAGTAGAGTGTGAAATTATATTTTGATAATTTTCACTGTGAAATTATCAAATATAGTTTTCTCGGATAAATCAGTAATCCACTGAAAAGCATAAAATAAATTGTTTTATTCAACGAGTGCAATAAATTAAGTATTAAACCTACAGTCATACAATATCCTCTATACATTGACAAACGTTTTAAATACTTATCTCTCGGTGTGGCAAACTTTAAATTTTAAGAAATTTCATTAATGGAAGGGGGGATAGACCTTCTTGCTTTAATCTATTTGTGACATAAAAATGTAAGAAAAATCCATAGTTTTTTATTGATATACACGTGCTTTTATTTTCTTTTATTTTAATATGTGTACTCATATTCGTAATTTTACAGCTGACGCATGTTTGACTTAGCTGGACTTATTAGACATCTTTTTGACATCATAACTCAGCCAAAATCATTCAAGCCAAAAACCCTTGTGATATGCGCAAGTACTTGACTTAAAAATCAATCTTGTAAGGTTTCATTGTAATTGCATAAGTGGTAAAAGAGAAGTACGGACAAACTTTTAAATTGAAAATTATTAAAAGGCCATAACTTCGACAAAAATCATTGAACCATAAAAAGTCGATGATATGCACAACAAGACTTGATACTTATCTTTCCTGTAAAGTTTGGATGCAATTGCACCAGTGATTTCTGAGAAGTAGTCAAGACAAAATTTGTCACGGACGGACAAACGAACGGACGGGCGACGGAGAAGTGATCCATACGGACAGAAAAGTCAAATTTACGGTTTCGAGTACAAGGCAATTTCTACCACCGCAAAGCTATCCAAAAGAAAATTTATATCAAAGACATGTCAATTATCAGTTAATTACACATATGGTTCTATTTATAGTATTGTCTAGACAGTTTCCGTACAAAAATAGTGTGCCACTGTTTAAACATTGTGTGCAAGCTGTATTGATAACCTATTGTTAAATCACATCAATATGATTCCGCAATAATACTCTATTATTAATAACCTGTACATTTTTACCTGTGTATCAGACGAATTTTTTGACGTATTATACCCGTGTTATCAGCTGATAGCAGACGGCACTCAAGCCTGTCTTTTTAGACAAAATGAATATTATTATTATCATCAATTGGTGTATACATTATTATCTTAAATAGCTTAATTTCCAAACCATTTTTATTTAATTTACTTTCTCATTGTGTTAAACCTAAGCTGTTTTTTCAGCTTGGTTGTATTTTTGTTTACTATATTAATTGTCTCCTATATCAAAATAGTTTCCCTAGCTGCCAGTCCCCTTGGGTATATTTTTATTTCAATAACACTTTTTGATATAGCCATTTCCTCACTCTCTTTAAGTTTTGACATAAAACTTTTACCAAATAAGTAATGACATAATATTATGGATAGTAGCAATAGGGCTATAATATAACTGTAAACACACACACATACAAAATCATGTTGTCATGTTTCACACCCTATCTTTACTATGATGATCTATTTTACATGGTTAAAAGTGAACTATATAAACAATACCACAATCTTAATTTTCCATTGTTTTCCAATTATATATCAATTGTATATCAATATTAACTAATGTGATATGTAGCTACACTATCTACTACTACAGAGTAATTGCTTAAACAGTAATTCACTAATAAATATTGCCAAAATGACCAATAATTGTTGCATTCTATTTTTTGCCTTTATAATTATGGTGTTTTGGTGATATTGAGTTAACTCCAGGCCCTTTAAATGACACATACCACTGATTTTATATACTTCATTAAATTTTTTAGATTAAAAACAAAAAAATTTTAGGAAATTTAGCATTGGATTGTTTGTTTAGGAATCATTTAAAATGCGATTAAACATTTTTTACATTTGGAAAAGTCAAAAATGCACATTCAGGGGGATTTTTTGTATACACTGCATTCCATTTAAGACCATAAACAAAATTAGATCTTGAATTACTTCTTCCAGAATCTCTTTATCTTGAAATAAAAGACAAAAGTAAACCTCTGTTAATATGTACGGTGTATAGACTACCACACTACCATATACAGGACATATTTTGGAGAAAAATTGAATATTTGTCTTGAAAGGGTATCAGAAATAGTAAATAAAATTATTTAGTCGGTGATATAAATGAGGACCAACTTAATCCAAACAATAGAAAATTCAAAGACATTCTTAATGTAAACAACATGTCTAATATAATAACTCTGCCAACTCGTGAAAGTAACCATTCAAGCACGTAAATTGACCCAATTGCGATTTCCGATGCCATTTTACCATATGACTCTGGGGCTATTGAAACTGACCAGCGACCGTAATGCTACATATGCATACATACATATAATTTTTTTAATTTGATGCTCCCTTCAGACGACGTGTATGAAACTATAAAATGCTGATTTCAATACATAAATAACAGATTATCTACTCAATAATTCTGTTGACACACCATGTAACACTTTCAGTCATAATTTTTTAGAACTAACAAAATGATGCATACCTACATATTTTGTAACTGTACGCCCTCATGATAAGCCTTAGTATAATTTCCTGAAAGCACGACCGATTAAAAAACAAAAAAGCTGTACAATCAAATAAAACTACAGACTGGAACGAAAACGAACAAATCAGAAAAAACTCACAAAACATGCACCCTAGTTGTCTAAAATTAGGAAATGTTATGTCACTTTATAGAGAATGTGATAAGAAACTTTTATCAATCTACATGCCAATATTCTTAATCTGTTGATTTGGTTAGGTCATGGAACGAGTAATTCTATAACATTTATATAATAATTTAGATGAAAATAATCTCATTTTCAAATATCAGTCGGGTTTTCTTCCAGTACCACCAAACATGTAAAACTTATGATGATAGAATATCTACATGTGTATTTTTTGTGTGTGATATTCCTTAAACATTTGGCAGGGTCTAGCATTCTGGTCTCTTTTGCAATTTAAAACAATACGGTATAATAGGGAAATAAATAAACGTGTAGAAGATTATTTATTTAACAGAATGTAAAAAGTATCTGTTGGATCCTCATTTTCAGAGACTAGATATATAATTGCCGGGGCTCCTCAGGGCTCTGTTCTATTTTTCATATACGTCTACATCTGAACGTTAAACTGTCAAACTTGAAATTTCTTTAACGGAGCTCAAGAAATAAGAATAAAGAGAAATAAAAATAGGTTAGAAAGAAAAAGGACACGGACACAGTTTTTTAATATATGATAATGACATTGTAGATTAATTAGAGAGTACAACAAGATAATTTGCCGATGATCGCTCCCTTTCAGTTTCATCAGTTGATATTGACACAATTCAAGACATTTTACATTCAGAACAACGGCTAGTTAATTTTAATCCGTGAAAACCTGAAGTTGTTACCTTTTCTTTTGCAGAACGAGAACATCCAAAACTGACTTTTGATATTTTGATAACATTAATTTAACTCATGTTCAACATCACAAACATATTGGAATCAACTTAAATAATAATGGTAAAATAATACCTTCTTCAGCTTCAAAAGTCTTAGGTTCTATGAAAATGTTAAAATTCAAATTAAAACGTTCATTATTCAATCAAATTTACATATCATATCTGAGACCAATTTTTAAATATGCATCTGTTTTATGGGATATTTGTCCAAATGTAGAAAAAGAAACCCTTGAAAAAATGCAATATGAAGTCGCAAGAATAATAACCGGCCTTACACTTTCTGTTTCCATAGACAAATTATTAAACGAAATTTGGATTGGTTTCTCTGTCAGACAGACGAAAAATTAAAAAAATTGATAAAAAATATTATAAAAAAGAAAAACATGGATTTTTACCCACCAATATTTCTGAATTACTCCACTATTGGTCATTGAAAATAATCATTACAATTTGAAAAAATAGCTCTAACATTTTTTAACAGTGCAAAGAGGTGCAGAACTATTTGAATCTGTAAGTCCATTATCAATCAAATTATAGAATGAACTTTCCCTAACCATTCGAAATGCCTTTGAAAACATTGCTAAAATCATTTTAAACCACCAGTTGTTCCTAAATATTTTTAAGCGGTGAACGTACTTCTGTCTTTCATGTAAGAATAAGTAAGAATAAGAAACCAATGTAGTAACTTAAATGCAGACTTGTTTAGAAATTACTTACGACAAAATTCATTATACGACTGTAGTAGTGGGGTGGATGATGCAGAGCACTATTTTTTCCAATGAAAATAGTGTACTGAACAGAGAGGCAACATTTTATAGCTACTAGACTTGATTATCTGCTAAGTACAGACAAAACTTCTTGTTGGAAACCCACTACTTACTTATAGCAAAATTGAATTTGTATTTCACGACACACAAAAGTTTATTAAATACTCAGGCAGATTTAGATAGAATTTAATATTTTATTCTGAATATGTCTCTTTTACAACTTTCAACCAGATCAGGACTCGAACTTGAGACCTTCCATTAAACAAGTATATATACACACAGTCTGGACTGCTCTACTGTCTGAGTAATCCAATATATCAGACGTTAAGGGCTTGCTATAGTTTATGTCGGCCAAGCATGTATACTTGGGGGCTAAGGACTTAAATTGATTGGATATTAGTAATAAAACATTTTGTTACAGTATTCTTAAGCCTGATGCACAGGGAAAGAAAGATCGTAACTGTAAGCAAAACAAAAGATAATTCTGCTTGTATATACTGACCTTCACCTTTTATGTGCCAGGTGCTTTCTCGTATTATCTTTGCATTTGATAAGGCTGATTTTATTCTACACATCAGTTCAAATCATAATTGCCACTCCTAATTAAGTGTTAAATGACTTATCTATGTATTTTCTTATTAGTTATATGAGTATCATTAAGCAATGGAAACTACAGTTTTTCATCGCAGCTGTCAAAATAAAAAGTGATAAGGATAAACAATGTTTCATTATTGGTGTTTATATGTTTCCTTTACTATCTATTCGTGGAACACATATTTGGAGCTGTATTGTACATATAGTAGTGTGAGACCTGTGTCATATACCCGCTACAGGTTTCTGCTACATGGAAAAAACTAAAAATTTGATGATGGGGTGAGGGGAACTGATAAATTTAATGTTTTTTTTGTTTGTTTACAATTTTACAATTTTTCGGATATCGAAGGAAGTGGCCTGCGTCGCTTGGACCATCCGTTTTGATTATTCCACGATAATACAAGAAATCCCGTGAATACGAATCATAGGGATGACAGTTTTTGCTTATTAAGGCATAGCATCATAAAAGAATTAAGAAAATGTCCATTGCCTTGCCTTTCAAGCTTTATGCAAAAGTTTATCAAATTTTCTTTCAATTTCATGCTCAGTCATTGACAGAAACTCTCAATTTAAAATAAAATGCACACATCAATCTATTTTGGCCTATCGGCCATACTGGTTAAGAGACTGATTCCAAATTTTTGAACGGAAATATAAGTTCGCTCACGCTGATGGTGCATGGGCAAATATTTCGTTCAAAAGTTTGAAACTTTTGACTCATTTAAATGCTTGCATTTAAATTAGCCAATCAGATTTCGCGCTCTGACGGTCATTTGTTTATCGGCTGTATAAGGAATTTAATAAAATGAAAATATTTAATCATGATTTTTTTCGGATCTGACAGTTTTATTTTTTTTGTTAATGGGCATTTTCTTTTACGTTTGTTAATGAAGAGGTCAAATTAATGTATTTATGCTGAGTTATGTTTTTTGTTCGACAATATTTTCTTGCGAAATGTGCTATGGTTTTTAAGCAATCTCGATATGACATTGCTTTGCCTAGAAGCAAAAATATGTCATTGCAACGTCACATTTATAGGACTTTCACCTGAGTTACCTTGTAGTAATGTTATTTTGTTTGAATCCCTGTTTCTTTTATATTATATTGATATGAATGTTAACTTACTTTGGCCTTTAATTTCTATATAAAAAAGAGTTTAATAAAAAGAAAAGGGATTTGTTATAAATGAATTTGACTGTGTGTTAACTTTCTATTTTGAATAGTTTTTGAACGTTGTCAAATTGAATATCTGATAACAAAAAGATTAAAAATCAACTTACACTTTCTCCAACCAAATATGATACGAATAGAAAATGTAAACACAAACGTGGAAGTAATAGCTTTACCACGACACATATTACCGTAAATCGATGTTTACGTCGTAAAGAAAAGAACTCAATATTATCATAATCGTTGTCGTCATAATTTTATCTCTGTTTACAACTGTTTATCTCTCATAATATGGGGTTCGGCAGTCAATGGGTTTAATTTGTCTTTTATAATCAAATTCTCTTTTTTTCTTCCTTTTTTTACTCATCCTATTGTTTGTATTTTTCCTACCAGTGGCAGACATTGACGTTTTTTCTTTCCATTATTATTTTTAACATTTTCATACTGGACTCCCCATTGTATGAGTTATCAATTAACGACATTATAACAATTTTATGTTTAACTTAACTAGCCTTTAAAAGTAATGGCATGAAAAGTACAGGAATAAATATGATTATCTTAAATACTGACGTTGTGGGGAGAGTTGTGCTAATATTGTTTTAACTTGTAGCATTTGTGATATATCTTTCTGTGAATATTTGTTCTTGTATCGATCATGTAATCTTAATGTATTTATGTTAAGATATGTTGCAATGAAATATTATCAAACTAAACTTGAAAGTACTTCGATAATTTATAAAACAATATAACGTTTACTTTTAACATAAAACCTTTTGAATATTTATATAGGAAGAAGAAATATTACATCAGCTGCAGAACGAGCATCACGAAAACCAAAATGGGAATCATTACAAATATAATGAGTCTCGCACCGTTTATTGAATTATACAATATTTGAATAATAAAGAAAGTAGTTTTACCAATAAAACTAACAAGAACAAACGGTGTTTTGAAAATGGAAAAAATACAGTTATTTTTAATTATAGCGATGAAATATGCCACAAATTTAATTGAATTATTATTATAGGGATATTTAAAATACTGCACGACAGTAACGCCGCTTTTCGTTGGATAAACGTGACGGTCATATCGTTTTTATCACACTCCACGCACCGGTTACACTACAGTCAGTAACCGCTGCCTTCACACAAATCACGTGGTGATGGTCTTCTCACATGATTGTGTCAAGATGGCGGATACGCCAAAAAAAAATCGTTGAATAATTGTTTTTTTCTGTAATAAACAGCGACATTAACACTTGAGCTCTTGTGTCAAGTCTGTCGATATGATTGGAAAAAAACACAACATTTTTGTTAAGTGTAGAATCGAAATTATTAATTACTTGAATGATTTCTCTTTCGAAAGCGGCCGTTGTTTTGGAAATTAACCGTGCTATTTTGAACAAAAATCATAATATTTATGTTTCCGAAATCATTTTTATTAAAGTTCACATCTGACACCTTATGGTCTTGAAACATTAGCGAAATTATCAAATTTCGTGATGGACCAAGATCGTTTTAAACCACTGGTTGTTTTTAAATATTTTTTTAAGCGGTGAACGTACTTCTTCTGTCTTTCATGCAAGAATATGAAACCAATGTTGTAACTTAAATGTATACTTGTTTTAGAAATTACTTGCGACAAAATTCATTATGTGACTGTATTAGAGGGGCACTATTCGTATTTTCTGATCGAAGATAGTAAATACAAAGCTAACATTCAATCTCTGACACAGAAGTTTCACGACAAACCTAACAACAGGTAGTTCTCAAAACAGCTTAAAACTAGCAATTTAAAAGAAAGAAATATTTTTATTTTGTTACAAGTATCCAACAAATTACAACGCATTCAAAGTTTAAAAGAAGCGTTGGCTTATAGAATTGTCAATAAATGTACAATCACAAATTACGCGGATGAATATGAATATGATTTTAATCAATGAAAATGCTATTTTTAGTGATTTCGATTACCGAATACTACACAAATTAATCTGACTGCCAAGTAGTGGAATGTATAGATTCTACATGTCGGACTGTTTGGGCGAGAAGATTTTCGCTAAATTATTTACTTCAATTTTAAACAAGAGCCGGTTGAACCGGGTGATGCTCCCCGAATAGGTTTTGGACACAGGAAGGTATACCTATTGTAGTGTCAGATTTATATCACAGACAAAGTTCAAAGTGTAAAAATAACCCAAATGTTGTGCACTACACATTGTCTCAATATGGTGATCATTTTTGTGAAATAGTTGTAAAATCCAACTTCAATTAACGAAGTTATGGACCGGACATGATTTTGCTGCAAGGTCATGCTGTGACATTGACCTTCAAGGTAGCAACCCAAATGTTGCATGCGACACGTGGATTTAATATGGTGATCATTTCTGTGAAATAGTTTTAAAGTCTGACTTCAAATAACGAAGTTATGGGCCGGACACGAATTTGCTGCAAGGTCATTCTGTGACATTGACCTTGAAGGTAGCGACCCGAAATTGTGCATGACACGTCATCTCCATATGATGATCATTTCTGTGAAATATTTTTAAAATCGGACTTCAAATAACAAAGTTATGGGCCGGACACAATTTTGCTGCAAGGTCATGCTGTGACCTTGACCTCCAAGGAAATGTTGCGCACGAGACGTCGTCTTAATATGGTGATCATTTCTGTGAAATATTTTTAAAATCCGACTTCAAATAACGAAGTTATGGACCGGACACGATTTTGCTGCAAGGTCATGCTGTGACCTTGACCTTCAAGGCAGCAAGCCAAATGTTGCGCGCGACACGTCATCTCAATATGGTGATCATTTCTGTGAAAAACCCATAATGCAATGGAAGTTCTAAATTTAGAATGACTTGATTTTATTCATGCATTATTTGTATAACTTCACCGTTGTGCAGGGGTAACGCGCTCGTTTAGTGTGTGTGAGGTCTGGAGTTCAAAACACAACCGAGGCAACTTTTTTAAATTCTTTTTTTTTGTGTCTATGTTAGGGAAGTAGCCATGATATGCAGCTGTCATAAAAAATGAACAAAAATGATTTTTTGATGCAACTCTAGTTATGCAAAATTCCGTATGTATCAAACTCTGGTGTCTTGCAAGATGAATTATAGTACATAAAAATAAACTTATACAGGAAAATTCATACAGATATACAGTACGATTTAGTTTAATAAGATCAGAAAATACCACAGAGCTTGCAGTACTTTGATTTTACCAATGTAAATGGTTTACTGGACAGAGACGCAACTTATTTATAGCTACTAGACCTGATCATCTGCTAAGTACATACAAACTTCTAGTTGGCAACATTCTACTTACTGATAGAGAAAATGAATTTGTATTTCACGAATTGAAAAAATCATATTGTTAAAAATCTTGACGAGCAGAGATCTAATCCTGTAATAGGTGATCACTGCGGGTGAGATTGCGTTTTTATGATACTACAAGTTTGTAACGTCGGTTTCCATTGAATAATTTTACTTTTATATAATCTATATAAACGTCTACAGTCGATTTGAGATTTAATTTTTTTCTCCAATAAATCAAGTTTGCAGTATTATAAATTCGTTATAAAGATTTTAACAAGATTTCTAGCGGCTCGGGTTTTATGTAAAAACAATTGTCAGATCAATAAATAGTATCCATACATTATCTATTATTATTGTTTGGTTTTATTAACCTGTCAATTACATACTGATTTCACGGTCGATGCACACAATATATTAATCTTCGGTAGATTTTCGGAAAGTTCCGTGAGATGTACATTGTACGATGGAATTTAATTTGATTTGTATCTATGAACTAAGTGTACTGATCGTTATAGCGCAATAGGGTAAAGCACGAGTTTATAATCTAAGTGTCATAGATGTTTTAAGTTCGAGACCGCGTTGGTCCATGTTTTTTTTCATTCTTATTAATACTTTCAACATGATTTAAGCTACACATGATTATTTTTTATGCTCTTCGTTTTGTTTTATTATGTTTTGCTTAATTTTGTAAAGCCTATACTCCTTTTAAATAACAAGTTTTAGGAATTCATGTTTAAAATTAAAACGGATTAAAACCAATAAATGTCTTTTTAATGCCGTAAAAACACTACAAGTCGGTTCCATTAAAATATACTGCAAAAATAAAGAGAGAGTAAAGCCTAAAAGAATTTCATCAGTAAGGATCGAACCACAGACCTCTCAATTATCAGGCATTCTCTTAACCGACTGCACTATTGCGAATTAACGAAAACCTTCACATTAAGCTGGCCCGACTTTCAAAACATGACTTATATACTCCGCATTAATTCTCGTAAACTACACGGACCAAACCGAAGTGGGGTCGAATATCTAAATGAGTGCTTTAATGTATTCATAATTGACAGGTCAATAAAATCAGACAATAGATAAAGGCAAATACAGGTGTATTTTATTATTTCATTCCTTACTACGGTGCATATAGAGTGTGCGTGTTTAAGTTTTATTATATTTTGCACATGCCTTATTATTAGCCGAAGTTTCCTTATCATAATTAGTTCGCAATTGCTTAAATTTCTTTTTATCAGCATAACATTTGTCATCAAACCAAAAATTTCCTGTTTTTACATGGTATGACCGAAAATTGGGTCACCTGTACTATAAAGGAGCATAGTAAATTATGATCGTACATTATCGTTTGCTGAAGCGGACAGCTGCTGATATATGTTTTCTTTACTTTTAAAATTGTCTTGCAACAGGGGTATTTTGATGGTATCAAATTTCTACAAAATTAAATTATGATACACAATGTACATTGTTCTTAAAAAGAAGGTAATCATCTGTGCTACACAAAGTAAATATTACGAGGTTTGGATCTTTCTAATTTTGCCATTAGCCATAAGAAACCCTATAGATTGGCAAATTATTTGATAAGTTACGCCCTGTTGTATCTAAATCTGAGCTCTGTCCTGCATAGCTAGTTTTATCTAAGCAGGTGAAAGGAACGGAAGCCCTTTGAGGCCGTTTTGAGTTAGAAGTTAGATTTTAGATGTTAGATCTTAGAGGTTCCGAATAGGCGGGAAAACGCCATATTTACTGCTACCTAGACAAGAAGATGTAAGTAAGATTTATAAACTTGTTATAATATTTCTTTAATTCTATTTTTTAATTTAAAAACTTGCAGAGAAATAGCTAGAACGTTAAAAGATGAAGTGATTATAGAATCTGTATTATATATATGGACCGGGAAAAAACAACCAA